GACATATAGCACAGTGGATAAAGGCGTTAACTAGATCCAGTGACAGGACTCGAAGAGTGTGAGTTCAATACCTGGTTAAGGCGGTGGAGATCTTGGAGAGGGAATTAAGCAGGAGATAACTGATAACTGACATCCATTAGACATGGAACATGGAACAGTCTACCCCGGTGAGCAAAATAAAAGGTTCAGTATGAGATTCCAACCACCTGAAGAAGGCCAGACCGTAAAGCGGCCGAAACGTCGTAATAAATATGGCGACAAAGATGAGGACAATAGTCCGAATAATGTAAATAGTGTAAGTGTAACTTAATTTTGGCACCTAGTGAGGATCAAAGGTACGACTAATGATCAAAATATCCAGATTGTTAATCAGGAAACTACAATGAGGCAATGTCTTAGCCTCATCTTTGAAAACTGCAGAAATATGACGTTTTCTTCGGTGTAATCACCAAATTTTTCCGCAGTTCACAAAAAGCTGCTCAAGGAAACAACATTAGTCATGTTGTCCACTTTTAGGTAATATAGGTTTCAGCCATATCACGTTGAAACACAGTTCCCGTACAATCACTGAAGTCAAGCAACGTCGAGTCTGGTCAGTTCTTCTATGGGTGACAGCAAGGGCAAATCATGTGCTTCTAAGCTTGGATATACGATGTTGTAACAAATAATGGCTCGGAAGTGAAAATCACAGATTTTCGTTCGAATTAGATTCGTTATATTTACGCGTAAATACCCTTAGCAGAGATATAAATCCATGCATTCTCCCCCCAGATATGGGTTAATAACAGGACTAATATCAATAAAATTATTATCTTCAAAAATAAAATAACTAAAAAGTGTTTTTTGGCTTTTTAAATGACCTGCAAAAGTTTTACAAGCTGTTAAAAAAAAAGCAAAAAAAAATCATTTAGTCAATATTCTCAAGAAATATCTTTCGATTCAATAAATTTAAATTGTCCACGCAAATTTAGCGAGAACTAACGTCTTGATGAAAATTTAATATTCTTTTTGAAATAGCGAGAATTTTCTTCTGAATTATGAGATATTATATTAATTATATCTGACGCTAGTAATTTTTGATTTAATAGTAAAAAAAAAAAATCAACCGTTGTACACGCCAGACTTCTTTATCGTATGTGGTTATGCAATGTAACAGAGCTGACCAGCTATCGAGGAAAAAAATGGAAGTCGACAGCTTTTGTAGAACCAAGTTTAAATAAATACATTGGGAGTAAATTGATCAATAACAATGAACTGTGATAGACGAACAAACAAAAAGGAACCGATAATACACTCTTAATGAACGTAGTGAGGACAGTCATTACTATTAATGGCTTTCGAGACAGGGTCAGTGACCACAAGCAGCATAATTAGAAATATTACTAACTGTAATAGTCGCGGAATATGTCATTTAAAGCCCGGGATACTGCAAAAGGTAGGTAAAGAGGGAAAATCAAAGTAGTGTCCGACTGGTAGATAACGTTGTAGGTAATAGTGTCTGCGCGCGAAAAACGAATTGAGCCAATCGATAAACGGAAAGATCAGTCAGCGTTTGCCAATCTTTGTATTCGTCGTTGTTCGATATCAACGTCTACAAACAATGAACTCAGTCAGTTATTAAAGGTTGGCTTCATAAATCAGTATTTGCGTGGAACAAAGGAATGAATCGTGGTGTTTATAGAAGCTTAAAAAAAAACGGAGAGAAAAGGAAGAAAGATTTGAACGAAAATTTGAAGGGAAAGTAAAGAAAAAATGTGGATAAATAAAACGTAGAGGAAGAAAATAAGGAAGAGAGAAAGAGGGGAGAAGGAAGAAGAGAAAAGAAAATTAGATTCGAAAAGAATGAGATGAGTGATAATTTAAATCACAAATATGAATAGGTTTTGAGCTAAAGAAGAAAGGAAAATGAAAAAAAGACGTAAAAAAAAGGAAAGTGAGACAAGTAAATAAGAGACATTTTTAATACTAATGTTGACTTAATAAAAGGTCTAAGAGTCACTCAATGTAGAGTGCTAGTGAAAGTAGCTAACGAAAATAAATCGGAAATAATGAAAGGTAACTGAAGTGCACGAATTAAACCGAGGGAAAATAAACAAATTCATAGTTTGAAGAAGAGAAGCAAATTTTTTTTTTTTTAAAGCATTTCACCCCAAGCAAGGCGGGGAGCCACTAGGACGCAAGGGGTTACAGAAAATAGGAAGATCAGATAGGAGTGATAGAAGAAAGGATGAGGGTAGTAGATAGATCAAGACAAATGGAGATGTCGATTGACATTACACTTGAATAGCTGGAGATTATAACTCTCAGGGAAACAGGAGAAGGGAAGAGAGTTCCACGGGCGAGAGGTGCGAGACATGAAGCTATTAGAGTAGAAGAGACGGCTACATTTAGGAGTTTCGACAGTGAAGGGGTGAGAGCGGGATGCCAGCCTCGTAGGGCGCTTGAACTCATGAAGTTTGGGAACCAGCGAATGAAGTTCCTCGGAGCAATTTCCATGAAAGTATTTATAGAACAGACTGGTGAAAACATTAGAGATTTTAAAACGAAAAGAATATAGATGAAAGAGAAAGAACTAAATAAAAAAGAAAGAGATAAGGTAATATGATTACTTGTGTTATTTACATTATTCGGACTGTTATCCTCATCTTCATTGCCATATATATTTCTCTGTCCATATCTCAGAGATGAGGTATTATGATAATTTACATTATTTACATTATTTGGACTGTTATCCTCATCTTCATTGCCATATTTACAACGTTCTGGTCGTTGTACGCTCCGGCCTTTTTCAGGTGACTGACATTTCGAACCGAACCCTTTATTTCGTCAACTGGGGTGTATTTTTCCAGTTCCACGTGTCATGCCTCTTCCGGATATCTCAGTTATTTCCCATTTAACTCAAATCTCCAACTCAACTCTACATGGCCCAGTGGATAAAGACGTTGGTGAGATCTAGTGACTAGACCCAAAGAGTTGTGAGTTCAATACCAGGTCACAGCAGTGGTGAACGAAAACATGGAGAGTTGAGTTAAAGGGAAATAACCGAGACATGCGGAAGAGGCATGCCACGGTACACGAAATGAAGGGTTCGGTTCGGTTCGAAATTCCAATCACCCGAAGAAGGCCGGAGCATTGTGAATATGGCAATGAAGATGAAAATAACACTCTGAATATTATTTACAAATAATACAAGTAATAAAAGAAAGAGAAATAAAAGAAAGAGAGAAGCGGTAGGCGAAATTAACAAAGACAAGTCGAAGTGAGAAAAATTTCATAAAGTAAAAAAGAAAGTGAGCAAGAGAAGGTTGAAGGAAGATAAATAGGATATAAGTGAAAAAAAAAAAGAAAAAGAAAAGAGAAGGAACTTAAAGAACGAACGAATGAACCGAAATAAAGGAGATGAACGAATCAAAGAACGGAAAGAAGGGAAGCGAAATAAAAGAAAGGGAAGGGAATACTTGAAAACAATGGAAATGAAACAGTTAAAAGAGAAGAATAGAGGCAAAGGAGAAGAAATAAATGAAAGGAGCGACGCCAAAGGAACGGAAGAAATTAATTAGTGGAAGAAAAACAAAGGAAGGAAGAAGGTACAGAAAAAATAACGGAATTATGGAAGTGTAGGAGTGAAATGAAAGAAGGTAAAAAGAAGGAACGAAGAAGAGAGAGATAGAGAAAAGAATCGAGAGAGAGAGAGAGAGAGAAAAGAAGAAAAATAGAACGAGAGAGAGAAAAGAAGAAAAATAGAACGAGAGAGAGAGAGAGAGAAAAATAGAACGAGAGAGAGAGAGAAAGAGAAAAATAGAAAGAGAGAGAGAGAGAAAAAAAAAATAGAAGAGAGAGAGAGAAGAAAAATAGAACGAGAGAGAGAAAAGAAGAAAAATAGAACGAGAGAGAGAAAAGAAGAAAAATAGAACGAGAGAGAGAAAAGAAGAAAAATAGAACGAGAGAGAGAAAAGAAGAAAAATAGAACGAGAGAGAGAAAAGAAGAAAAATAGAACGAGAGAGAAAAGAAGAAGAACGAGAGAGAAAAGAAAAATAGAACGAGAGAGAAAAAAGAAAATAGAAACAAGAGAAAGAAAAAAATAGAACGAGAGAGAGAGAAAAAAAGAACAAGAGAGAGAGAGAGATAAAAAATAGAACGAGAGAGAGAGAGATAAAAAATAGAACGAGAGAGAGATAAAAAATAGAACGAGAGAGAGATAAAAAATAGAACGAGAGAGAGATAAAAAATAGAACGAGAGAGAGAGAGATAAAAAATAGAAGAGAGAGAGAGAAAAAAAAGAACGAGAGAGAGAAAAAAATAGAACGAGAGAGAGAGAGAAAAAAAAAAATAGAAGAGAGAGAAAGAAAAACGAGAGAGAGAGAAATGAGAGAAAATAGAACGAGAGAGAAAAAAAAATAGAACGAGAGAGAGAGAGAGAAAAAAGAGAACGAGAGAGAGAGAAAAAGAGAATAAAGAGAACGAGAGAGAGAGAAAAAATAGAACGAGAGAGAGAGAAAAAAAATAGAACGAGAGAGAGAGAGAGAGAAAAAAAATAGAACGAGAGAGAGAGAGAAAAATAGAACGAGAGAGAGAGAGAGAAAAAATAGAGAGAGAGAGAGAGAAAAAAATAGAACGAGAGAGAGAGAGAAAAAAATAGAACGAGAGAGAGAGAGAGAGAGAAAAAAATAGAACGAGAGAGAGAGAGAGAGAGAAAAACATAGAACGAGAGAGAGAAAAAAATAGAACGAGAGAGAGAAAAAATAGAGAGAGAGAAAAAATAGAACGAGAGAGAGAAAAATAGAACGAGAGAGAGAGAGAAAAATAGAACGAGAGAGAGAAATAGAACGAGAGAGAGAAATAGAACGAGAGAGAACGAGAGATAGACAAAAGAACGAGAGAAACGAGAGAGTGGAATGAAAGAAACAAACGCAACGAAGGAAAATAAGAAAGGAAGCAAAGTAATGGCGTGACATAAGAGAATGAAAGAATGTAATTAAATGAACGAAAGGAATGAAAATCAAAAAAGAATGCTATGATACATCGGAAAAGAAAGAGTAAGGGACAAAAGAAAGGGACGGAATAAAAAGAATTGAATGAAATATATCGAAAGGTGAGGAATGAAAAGAAGAAAGGATCGAATAAATAATGTAAAAAGAAAAAGAAGTGTGAAGAAAGGCGGTGGAAGCAGAAGCGAAGAATGAAATCGAAGAGATAAAGGGATAAGAAAACAAGGAACGAAAGAAGGAAACGATTGAATGAAACGAATGAAAGAACAAAGGACGAACGAATGACGGATTAACATAATGAGGTAATTAACGGAAGTCTGAATGAAAATGAGAGTGAGAAAGGAGAGAACAAAGAGAGTGAAATGAAAGGGGAGGAGCAAGAAGGGAGAAAAATAGAATGAAAAAGATAATGAGATGAAAAAGAAAGTAGAAAAGACCATTAGAGATAAAGAGCACCATATGAAGAAGAAGAAGAAAAAAAAAGAAGAGACATATAAAAGAAATGAGCGTGGGTTGGGGATAAAGGGCGAAAAAAGAGTAACAGAAAGAGACGGAAGAACAATAGGGCTGATGAAAGCAAAGTTGTTTTAAAAAGACGGAAATATAACGAGAGATAATACCAAAAAAAACAAAAAAAACCGGAAATCTTTGGCCTTAACGAAGAATGGAAATAGTGAATTCATTTTGTTTAAACATCGATCTATAGATTGATTCTGATGTTGGTAATCCGGAGGTGTCCCAATTTAAAATCGTATCTAAAAGTTGGTCAGAACCATCAATTGCCTTTACACGTAGCTTGTGAAACGCAGTCAAGACTAGAAATCATTCGTTCCTATTACAAAATGGAATAATTAGTATGAATCGATGTAATAAATTGTTATTTGCTGTCTATTCCATCGGGAACTTTTTTTTTAAGTTCATATGTTTTTTTTTCTCCTCAGTAAGAGTAGATAGTTTTAAATTTCATCCGGTTCACACTTCTCCTGTTTTTGAACTGTTTAGTATAGGATTTACGGTTCCTTCTAATGTCTTATCAAATCCCAGTATCCTTTTGCATCTTAGTGGCATTATCGTTTTGCTTGGTGTGAATTGATTAAAAAAATATGAGCAGAAATAAGGCTTTCAAATATGCAAGTAAGCTCATTTTGTTTTCTAATATTCACCAAATAGAAGGCAAAAGAGCCACTTAAAGGTAGAGGAATATGTTTCGTACTCTATAAGCATCAGACAAAGGCAGGGAGTGCAGTTCATGAGTTTATGTAGAAAAGATAACGGTTAACTTTAGACTAGAAGAGGTCAAGTTTCTAGGGATTAGAAAAATATCCTGTCTGGAGTTTTGTTCACAAAATATTAATCCTTTCAAAGATGATGTCCGAGTGGAATTTACTTATTAATGGAATACGAAGGGAAAGAGAATGATTCATCAATGAACATATGACATGGCGCGTTGGGCACCTCGAGGCGGTGTAATGGTTAACAAGCTTGTCTCGTTAGAACAATTAAGACTGAGTAGTGAGTTCGTTCCTCACTGGGTGCGATCATTTCGGCCTTGTACCACATCTAAGCTACGCTTGAAAAATCACTATGACATGGCGCGTTCTATCTATAAAGGTCAAGGGTGATGTAACCCAGGAATGTATCTCTTCAGAAAACTTGCCGTGGAAATAGCGAAAGACGAGACTTGTGGCATTTTGTCTGTGGGGAAATGGGATTGTAGGATGGAAAATAATTCAGCAACCACAAGGCCGCGTAGTTGCTTTTCAACAATATCAAGGCAAACAATCGAGGCAGCAATACTTCATTTTTGGTCTGATTTAGCTTTTGTAAGACCGAGCATTGTACGCGGTGTCAAATAACTTCCTGGAACGCTACAATGAACGGATTATTTCTCCAACATCTTTAGTAATAGACCTTATGTATGAGTTCGACTCGGTGTCAGGGATGAGGTTTCAATAGGCATTCAAAGCAATGACCCTCCCTGAGAGAACACTCATCTATCAGGATAAGTGAAAATCTGCTGAACGTTAATAGTTTGGTTTTGGAATTATTGTACTTTAAAAACCAGTCTTTTCTTCGACTGAACCATCAGACCTAGGTCAGAGGAGAGATCACTTGCGAGTTCTGGACATATAGACTTTTGGAGGTTTACCTATAAACTATTGTCATCTGTGCCCCAGATATAAACGCAGAGATAATGACACTAAGGGAATATAAATTAACACCCCATCTCTCGTTGTCTAAAATCACGACGCTTTACAAACACATCTTCACATTAATGCTAATTTCAGATAAATTTTTATGAAAGATTTTTTTATATACACACCAGTGTTAAAAAAGAAAGATTTATGAACACAGAAAAGTTATAAAAATTGAAGACACATTATGAAATTCTTTATCCTGCCATGTATCATATACAGACCAGTCATTCGATTTTAAAAAAAGCCAAAATGTTTAAATTTATTCATTATAAATCATTGAGAAGAATTATTGAATCAGCTATGATATCACGATTCAATTCGATTAATCAAAAGGAAGGTTTTTTTTTTTAATAATATATCACCTTTTCTAGCAAAGATGATAAAGAAAATATCAAAATATATGGTTAAACACCGTAATAAAAATGTTATGAATTTTTATTTCAATTTTATATTTTCCTTAATACTTAAATAGTATAGTCATAAATTATAACTTGAATCGTGTGTATTCACTAGTTTCTTTAAATATATACAGTTTATTTTCTTTACAATAATTCTCTTATTTTCCTACATCCAATCACTACTTTGCATTTATTTTAACATTTTCCTAGATACAAATGTCATTGATAGTTAAGAGATATTCAGTTTATTCAAAATTATTCAGGTTTACGGTCATATAACTTTGAAAAACCGGTTCCCATATCTTCAGCTAAGTTAAGGCAAGTCGAGTCTGGCCAGTACCTAGATGGGTGACCGCATAGGAATACCAGGTGCTGCAGGCTGAGATGTGCGTGTTAACGGCTCGAAATTTGAAATCGGAGGCCCTAGTTCCAATATTTCTGTATGTCAGTTAATGTTGGATAATTTCGTGAATTTTGAATAAGAGAGTCGATATGATAATATAAAACCTCTCCAACTGTTGATTTCGGGAAAAAGAGGACCTGTTAGAGATCAGAAAACATTTTAGAAAGCAGAGAAAGAGAGAGTTATCTCAGACCCTCATTCCAGCTTTGTCCGCCACACCTGCAGAAGAGACTGTCATGCAAAGATTGCACTGTTTAGCCATCCCAGACGCAACTCAGAAAAGGGCAGAAGTTTGACCATACCGGTCGTCACCTTTATCTCGCTAGATAAATAAATGAATGCCTGCCTTCCTACTATATAAAACCATGCGTTCTTTTATTATACTTACGTCAACTTTATTCTTTGTAAACTGTTATGGTGTAGAACCATAGACAGATAAGACAGACTCGGATATAAGGTAAAATAGTATATTCTCGGAAACGTAGTAGAAAGGTAAATGTGGACTAGAGAGTACTTTCTCTCACTGGTGTCCTGACTCCCTCATTCACTCACTCGGTGTCTACTACTCGGTGATCCTCACTTGGTGACTCCTTTTACTCAAAGTTGGTAGCCATAATATATAGGTGTGGAAGAGCCCATTTGTAGGTAGGTCCCCACAATATAAACCATACCTGTTCCTTAACTGTAAATCGATTAAATTTGTCATATAGGTTTTGTATATAAAAGGAGAAAATATTACTTGATTTTAACTTCACTCTATCGCCCCTTTATTTTTGATTACCCCCTTTGATCGAACCACGTGGAGAGTACTGTTTTTGGAAATCCAGGCCCTAGACACATCAACAGGAAGCATCTCGATACTAAAATTGATGTATGTGTTTACTGGTATTTAAGTGAGTAATTAAACGTGTTAAAGATTTTGTAATTAGTTTCTGTTTAGATTTAAAATATGTTTTATTTCACAGAAAATCACACGGAAAACGTAAAAAGAACACAGAGACAATTGAAAACCACACGGTATATGAGGCTAGACCAAATATATGTTTTTGCTTTAATGATAAATATTTCGAGAATAGTTTTATATGTAGAGAGCATTCACTTTTGTTTGGTTTCGTTAAAATCTAAAAATCATTGTTCGATGGTACAGACAATGGTACGATGACCTTGCCATTGTGGTAGAAAATGGAGCCGTGGTCGCATTTCCAAGAGTGACTGCATGTGATGTCTTCCTAAGTGTGTGTCATAAGTGATTTATCTCGGGTCGACCAATGTTCGCCCATGCACAGGTGCGCGTCCGTCTCTTAAGATGTGGTCTTGATGTGATGGAATCCGGATCTATTTTCTTTGTGTGTGCCTGTGTTCAGGGTATATATGTCTATTAAAGAGCATTGAATCCAGCTTTATGGCTGAGCTTGTGAGTCGATTGTGTATTTGCACCGCTCCCAGAGATGAGGTTTCGAGTGTGTCAAAAACAGGATTTTAAAACAAGTGGATTTTAAGGCAAGCAGATCAGTCAAAATATAAAAAGCTGGTTTTACATAGAAATTCTAAAACGGGAGTGATTAGCTGATGTGAAATTTACTATCTAATTTGGGAAAGATTGACCAGGATAGGAATTGGTTAAGAAATCAAAATGGAAATTTTGTGACGTATTCACATAAGAATGTCTCGCTTTTTTTTTACAGGATTTTTCAGAAGTAAACATAGACGAAAGAAACAGGTTTTATATTTGCTTTTATTGGTCAGTTACTCAGTCAAAATAAGATTATTTGATTAATTCTAAAATATTAAACTATAACTCAAATAAATTACAAATATAAACGTGGTAAAGGATTCCAGATGTAAACTTTATCTGTAATCTCACAGAAATAAAAGAAAATGTGTTCTTTTAAAAACTTATAATACAATTAATAAGGTTGTCTGGTTTCATAAATATAAGTGAAAAATGACTTGAGGACAATTTAAAACGCGGAATGTATTGAGGAACCTAGAATTACAAAGGGGAAATATAAGCTGGACATTTTCAGAAACACAGATGGAAAGCAGCTTTTAGTAAATATCACGCAAAATCTTGTGTATAAGATATAGAACTCAGTTTGCATTCATTTTGCCTTGAAGTAAACCGAATCTGAGTGCCTGTGTGATTCTGCTGTCTTGAGAATAAACTTCAAACGTCAAATCGAGAAAATGGCGTAACACAATCTTTTCTGATTATGTGGGAGTTGTTTGATACTCATATGGTTGTGTCATTGTTAGTTTATATTTGTTACTTATTCATTTATGCAACATACCCTTTAAGAATATCTGCAATCACAACGTCTGGTTGTTTATATTGGATTACCAGTTACAAAATTTATTTTTTTCTGAATTTACATTTACGTGAGCAGGTAAACACAAAGCGTAATTGTGCATGTAGCCTATAAAACATCTACCCACAAGGTTAAGTAAAAAAGAATATCCTCACTTTCACCATGACATATGGTTAGGTTTGTCACACTGCATTGTGCACATGAGCACATATCGTCGGCACTATTGTGGCCATTTGATCGAAGTCTGAGTTTGATCACGCGAGGTTTCTTTTAGCCCATGATACACCACACAAAAGAAATCTGGTCACTGTTCTTTGTTTCACCTTGGTTCACACTGCAAGCGGAGCGGTCATGTTTACATAGTAAAAGCATAAAAAAAACTGACTACAATAGTAGAACCTATAAGCACACATGAGCAGGAGGCAGTGTGATAAACCTGTGATAAAAGTGCGGATAATATTTTTATATATATATATATATATATATATATATATATATATATATATATATGTGTGTGTGTGTGTGTATGTATGTTAATTAACTACACCGTTTAATATATATTACAAAGAAGTAGTCAGACAAAGAATAAATCGGTAAAGTAAAAGGAATTAATGGCGAATTCACTTTGCTAACAGGTTTAATAAAGCATTAACCTACTAACCATTCGTTGAATGACGCGATCCTTGTTTTTTAAAAATTGTAAAATTACATTAACTTTACTGATTTATTCTTTTTTATGAGTAACTTCTTTATAATATTAATTACACAATATTATTTAATAGATTTAAAAGGACCGATCTCCAGTGCAAATTGTCAAAAAAAACTACTGGGACATTGCTCTAGTTATTGGATCATGTGTTCCATACCACGTTGATTGATAAAACACAACACAAAAATTCGTGGATTTTCCATATTACAATTACAATTGAAAAAAAAAGTTCTCATTTAATATTCTCAAAATGCAACTCTAGCTTTGCGACACTGCACGCTCCAACATTGTGTTAATAATAACACACTTAAAAAAAAAAAATCTTTCGACCCAAATTGCATTTATTTTTATCTCGGAAGTTACCTGAATTTACCTGTAAAGGAAAAATAATATCCATGCTTGATGATAAAAAGAATTATCGAAAGAACTAGCATATCTAATCCATTTTACAATTTTTAAAAACAAGGATCTCGCCATTCAACAACTGATTAATTGGTTAATGCTTTATTAAATCTGTTAGCGAAGTGAAGTCGCCATTAATTACATTAACTTCACTGATTTATTCTTTGTATTACTACTTTGTTATATATATATATATATATATATATATATATCAGGCTCTCGATACTTGACAAAATGACATGACACCCCATCAATGAGTGAAGACACTCGCAGATTAAATGAATGCACATAGACAAAACCCAGTCAACACATAAATATAATTCTTTGATTATGGGTTATAATGTATGTATGTGTAAATATAATTTTAAGGTATGAGATATTCATAGTTAAAATTGCTCAATATTAGAGACAAAGAATATATATATATATATATATATATATATATATATATATATATATGCGTGTGTGTGTTCGTGAACAAAAACCCGTATGCAGAAAGATCTATTTTCTTGTATAAAATAAAATAATATACACTTTATTCACTGGTGAATGTCAATCACAGGTTTTTCTGTATGCATCTATGTGTGTGTGTTTGTAAGAACGTAAATTGAGAGACAGAGAAAAAGAGAAAGAAAATGTCAGAAGGAGGGGGAGAGAAATAAATATTCAGAGAGAAAGAGAAACACGAAAGCGTTTGGCAATCGATGTATCGATCGAAGCACTGGCTAGATTCTAGTTAATGAGGTATTAACCAATATCACTTGTACAACAATGTGGTGTGAACCTATTTATGCCCAACTTAGACAAGTTGACACGATTTCAAATATGAAAAGTAATAGCGAAAGAAATAAAAGAATATATATAAATGTATATTTCTTGTATTCCTGTGTATAAATGACCAGTTACTCGTTTCTGAGCATGCGTCTCTGCTGGGTGATCTGACAAATCCCTGTCGCAGACGCTTGTCCAAGCACATTAATGATGGTTAAGCGGGATTTTGTTAATATATGTGTGTGTGTCGTGGACATTTTTTTTGGGTAGTATCTGGTAGTGTCCATTTGGATTGGGAAATGTTTTGTTTTAGAGTTAAACACTTTCAGTTACACCGGTTTTGGTTTTGCGTAATTTAATCTTAGATCCTTTATGCATGGATTTTATGAAAAGTGCTAATATAATAAAGTGTGCTTGACGTGTCTTCATCGATGGAAAAATAGTTATCAGGATTTCTTAGTATCTTCTCAGTGTGTTCTTTTTCTTTTTAATAGGGTACCACTTTTTAGATCGAAGTTATGCGCTGTTTTGCGTAGATCCGGGATTTTACGTTTCTGTGGATTTATTCTATTACCAACTTACATAACTTGATACTTGAAGAATTTAAATTAACCATAACCACTTTACCCTATTTTTTTTCCAATTCCTCCAAAATCACCAACACACGGACACCACCAAACAGAAATTATACACGGGCACGCAAAAATATAGTCGTATAGACACGTGTATATCCTGAGAGAAAGATAAGGGGAGAGAATAAGCGAGAAAGAATGACGGAAAATGTA